CTTGGGCGTGCAGTTTGTAATTTCCGAAAAAAACAAGCCTTACAATTCGATTTGTAGGGGCTTTAAACATGAAATTGGTTGCGTAAACGACATGGGCAATGCATATTTTACGGAAATTAGTCGAAATTACCTCAAAAAATCGAAGCCCAATGGTTCTTCGAGCTTGAATTCGAGATTTCGAAATTATTTTTTTTTTTTTGCTATTTGCGGTTTTTGGGTTTTTGTAGGTTTAGAGAGAGAGAGAGTTTTTTTTTTATGAACCGCGAATAGCAAAAACGTAACCACGAATATCATTTCCGTTTATTAAAGGTACGTCCTATTACCTCAGTAATACTACGAGTCATATTCTCTCAACTATTTCTACTATCCGCACGTCTGACTTGAGCGTCAAAGGGGTTTCCGCCAGATCAACCCCCAGCCTAGTTCACGTGTTTATGATCGCAGGTATCTCAAGGTCATCAAGCTCGTGAGCCAGTGATCTACTCTGCTCTTCCAGTTCATCCTACTTCAACTATCTAAGGTGATCTATTTCTAGCATCATATATATATATATATATATATATATATATATATATATATATATATATATATATATATATATATATATATATATATATAGAGAGAGAGAGAGAGAGAGAGAGAGAGAGAGAGAGAGAGAGAGAGAGAGAGAATTTATTTTTTCTATTTTTAAACATATATAAAGATATAAACGCAAGACCCGCCTCTCTAACTGTCTCCAAATATGAGGAACCGAAACCACACCGATTTTTTCGGTTCCGAGTTCGGTTCCGGTTCGATTCTAAAACCGTTGACCCCGGTTCGGCTCTGGTTCCGGTTCCGGTTCTAACCGAACAGGTGGTCAGGTCTAGTCTCAAGTTCAATTCTCAACTAATGCATGTATTTTTGGGCAATGCAATGGGTCACTGAGTTGACTCGACTTCATAAATGAAATCAAATGAAATTGAGTCAATGCAATTATTATTCATCAAATGAAATTGGGTCAACTCATTTTTTGCCAATGCAACTCGACTTCATAAATGAAATATTATTCATCAACTGAAAAATGAAACTGGGTCACTGAGTTGACTCGGCTTCATAAATGAAATTGGGTCCGTCACTAGTTCACCCGGCTCATGTCTTTAAAACATATTTAAATTAATTATTTACTAAGATATAGTTAGGGGTAAATTAGACAATCAATATTAATCTATTTTATATTAATTTAATAAAAAAAATAATCGAATGATAGTTTGATAAAATGCTTCCTTGTAACACCACAAATCAACATTATTTTATTATTTTTGTTCACCAGATGATGAAATCAATTATAAAATCATTCTCAATAACCAATAGAGTAATGATTAAGACCTTTATTAAAAAATATAGTAAAATCATCCATCTTAAACTTAGGAAGGGCCACCCCGATCTCAACGCCCCCAACTACCTCTCTACATTCACAAAGAGATATTGCACCCGTTCCATCGATTGAGACATCTTCCATTTTCACGGGTCTTCCCCACCCGAAATCCAACCCGTAAAGATCCACCTTCGGCGACCCGGTCACCATTATATGGAGCTCCGATTCGCGTAACACCTTCCAATCCGACATCCAATTCTCCGCACCACCCAACATATCCGCATTTAACTTCTTAATCGTGTCGCCGATTGCCCTAGCCGCAAATAGTATTCCATTTTCTCCTAGCAATTCGTATCTCGTGGCCGATGACCGACCGAACCCGACACAATTACCCGCGTAGTTGTCGGGCACCGTGTAGCGCAATCGGGTCATTCCTCCAGCGACGAAACCAAAATAATGAACACAATTTTCTTCGGATGTCGACCAATGCGCCTTCACCCAACACACCCATAGAAACGCGCAAACGAGAACGTAAGGCGAGAGGAGTAGTTGGGTCGACCCGAATAGTGTTTCGGACCGGGTCAAGATCCATTTCTTGATGGATTCCATTTCAATTGGACCCAACACAAAAGTGGATCTTATGATGATGGTCTTTTCACAAGTACTAATTGACCGGCCAATTTTCATGGCCCACCACTCATTCAAGAAAGTTGACCCGAGCCCAATTGGATCTCTTATCACCGACCTATCATGTAAGGAGGTATATTCCGACGACGACTCGCCGCCGCTTTTGCAGAGCGAAGACCATCCCTTCAAGAAATTGTTGAACGTCCTCCAGTCAGCTGCCACGTGGCGCAAGGTGAAGCCCATGGAAATCCCAGCTTGTGGGAAGACGGTTATTTGGATGGCCAATAGCTGCTGCCTTGAACCAGCTTCTCCGCCGCTCCCCGCGGACAGCAGTGCAGGAACCAGATCGCGGAAATCTCGGGCGGTTTTCTGGTGGTTGGCGGCGAGTCTCTTGAAGTCGCCGGCGGACGGCGACTCGGCAACTGTCAAGAGGATGGAGTCGTCTTCGGTGTACTCTAGGTGGGGGGCCGCCCCGGTGGAATGCGGCGACGGCGTAACCAAGTTCCCGGCGAAAGGGAAGAAGTGCTGGAGAGTGAGGGAGAGGGTTTTGGTGAGGTTTGGGAGGATGTTTTGTTTGAAGTGGGCGGTGGTGATGGTGGGAAATTCGTAGAAGAAGAGTGGCTGAGTTGGGGTGAAGAGAAGCCAAGGTATGTCGAGAAAGGTGAGAGGGAGAGATGTCGGCGGCACGGACTGCGGCGGCGGAGCGACGGTGCAGGTTTCAACCACCGTGATTTTGAGTGAAGAAACCATTTTTGCAGGGCGGCGGTGGCGGAGGGAATGGACGAACTCGTAAAGCTTTATGAATTGAATAATGGCGGCATTGAGTATTTGTGTGAATTATTGCTTTGCTTTGTATGATTAGTGACGTCACAAAAATTGACAATTGACAAGGAAAGATAGAATAAATAACCATAAAAGGATAAAGATACTTGGCCAGATTCTTGCCAACCATTTGAAAGTTGAATTACCAATTTACCCTAAATAGTATTTTTTTTAATTTGTTTCTGGTAGTATTTTTTTTAATTTATTTTCTTGTTTATTGTGCGTGTAGTTAGAATTGGGTAGTACTATTTTTTAGGAGGGAAGTTAGGGAGGGAATTTAAGTGGAAATCTTGAAACTAAAATAATGAAGGGCATAAATGGTATTAAATATATAAAAAGGAAAAATAAATTGTAATTAATGTTATTCTGACCGGGCCAGATTCTGGCTATTTAGCAGCTTCCTAGATAAAAAATGATGTTCTTGAACCACGCAACACCATTTTTGTATTAATGTTGGACACGTCTAAAACGTTTTGAGTTTTATAATTGGGTCTATTATAAATAAGTGCATCATTAGGCATGGCATATTGGAACTTTCGTAATTTCGAATAATTAATATTGAGAAATATTAATTAAATTATGTAAAGATTAATTTCATTTATTTATTTGATCATAATCATGAAGTAAAATGAATGAAAATTATTGATTTATATGCCTTTGAAAATATACTTGTTTTGTTGAGACATATTACGTGTTACGATATTAAGTGTGGTAACAAAATTCTTGTGTTTTCACAGTAATTAACCTACTAAAAGCAGAATAAAGAACACAAGAATTTAATGTGGTTCGGATACAACTGTACCCTACATCCACGAGAACTTGCAAACTAGTTTGAACTTGCAAACTAGTTTAGATTTACAGTGTATATTAATAGGACTTATTGAAAACACTAAAGACTCCATCTTTATGTTATACACCATTCTCGCACACGACTCGAGCTTGTTGATAATCAAAGCAGTTCCTTCATCCGCACTCTTGGACTTCCTCCAATGTTGCACTCCCTTCAAACGGCGGATCGACCTCTCCCGGGATCTCTTATGCACTTCTCCTGAAACGTCGATCTTCTTTATGGCCTGGTAGAAGAAATATGTCCTATTGCCACACCTGATGTGCCGACAGGGCTGTAGCACGGGCTGCACCTTTCAAAGCCTTTATGCTGGAATTTTTCGATTAAAGCTCCATCGGAATCATATGAGGTTGAGGGCCTTGTATATGCACGAAATCACCACCCTAAACCTAGCTTGAGCCCTAAGAAATCGATTTAACTAGGTAGTAGAATCCTAGTCGATTTCCACTTCTATTTTGTAGATAAGTACAAAAGATACCTAACTAGAATATAATACATGAAAATAAATCTAAGTCCTAATAACAATATTACAAGAATAGGACTTTAATTAATTCCGAAATAAACATGGAAAACAAATATTTGTGAATCTTTAATTTTCACGTATGGCGGATTTCTCCAATCTTCACTAACAGAAATTTGGTGCCAACAAAAAAATATTTTGATTAAATGGTTAAAGTTCAAAAGATGTGCGCTCGATGTGATTGAGTGATAGGACATTCAGTTTGGGTTTAGGTGTCCACAAATATTACTCTTGGGGCATTTAGTAATTACTCAAATTAGTTGACTTAAATTCAAAATAATAAAATATTTGGCCCAAACGAAGTATTTCATTAATTGGTCATGACCAATTAATTTCCTATGTTTTGAACTCGGTAAAAAGAACAACATCCTTTTGCTTCTTCTTTTAACCATTGCAACCCTCTATGAATGGATCTCTACCGTCTATAAATAAAGGCAGAATCAAGCTAATTGTGTACGAAATTTAATCGGCAATTATGAGATAGTTCTTCATATTCTTCTTTCCCTTCGTCAAAGTTTCGTTTTTTGTTCAAGTTCGCCGTGGGTCGAATATTTGTACAAATATTTGACAATCGATCGTTGTACCTTGAGAGACTATCGGAAAGAAGCTGTGCACCGTTGACAGCCCGGAAATATAGTCATAAGGAAATTGCTTTGGCAAGCCTCGATCTGTCTATGTTTTCATAATTTTTTTTTTCTACAAACAAGTAAGTATTTTAGTTCGTTTGCGCGGATTGTTATATGTATATATATGGGGTGATTACAAATAAGTCCATCAATGGATATTTATTCATAAAGAGATCCAGACAAAAAACTCCTTTACAAATAAGTCCACACATGGTCCAGACTTTTCTAAAAGACTAAAATAGCCCCTCATACTTTATATGTTCCAATTTCATCCTTAATTTAATTTAACCTCAATTTGACCCCAAATTTCACAAATTATTCAATTTTGACCCAATTGTTTTTTTCCAAATTTTTTTTCTGCCGCCGGATTCTGGCGTAGACTTTTCGAGTATTTTTTTTTCTTCCAGATTTTTTCGCCGGTTTCCGGCGTTTTTTTTTTCTGTAACATTTTTTTTTCGCTTAAACAGCAATATTGTTGTGATTGACAGTAATATTAACTATATTACTGTTAAACATAGTAAAATTAACTAAACTACAGTTTAACACGCCAATATTGCTATATTAATCTCTAGCACAGTAATATTAACACAACAAAACTCATTATTATTGTGTACTAGAGTAATATTACTATGTTGATTGTTCAACAAATGTAAACATAATAAAAAGCCAAAAGACTTAATATTACTGTGAGTGACAGTAATATTACTATAACAACAATAATATTACCGTCAACCACAGTAATATTACAATAATATACAGTAATATTATTACGTTACTTCGTGAATAACTCAAACAAACAAAAAAACCAAATAAAATAGTAATATTGATGTGGTTGACAACAATATTACTATAACAACAGTAATATTACCGTCAACCACAATAATATTATTGTATTTATAGTAATATTACAATAATAGACAGTAATATTATTACTTTACTCCGTGAATAACTCAAACAAAACAAAAAATCCAAAAAAATAATAATATTGATGTTGTTGACAGTAATATTATTGTGTTTACAGTTATTTTACTGTCAACGACAGTAATATAATTACGTTGAATTGTCAACAAATCAAACAAAAAAAAAAATAACATTAAATAATAAATAATAATAATATTACGTTAATTTACTGTCAACAGCAGAACAATTACATAAATGTATTGTCAACGGCTGTACAATTACGTTAATTAACTGTCATTGACAGTATAATTACGTTCATTTACTGTCAGTGACAGCACAATTACGGTCAACGTTTAGCGGCGGACGTAAAAAACAACAAAAAACACTAAAAAAGTCAACCCCAGAGACCGGCGGCAAAAAAAAATTCGAAAAAAAAAGGTTTTTGAAAAAAAAGTCAAAATTGATTTTTTGTGGACAAATTGATTAATTGAGGTTACATTTAAAAATTGGGTATAAATGTTTGGGGGTATATTGTCATATATATGATGTTTTTTTATTATATAAATATTAAAGGAATGAGCTTATTGGTGAAAGA